TATATATATATATATGATAATTGATAATTCATTACTAATTTTTTTTAAATCCGAAAATTTATCAAATTTTTGATCCAACTATATCTCTCAAAAAATCAAAATTCATTGTTATGTTAGTTGTCACCACTCAAATAGTGTGATATTTTTTTTGGTTAAATCAAATAGTGTGATATTAAACACTGCTAACATTTTTTTTTAATCTCTAGTAAGAATAATGAGAAGCTATTGGGTGTCGCAATATGGGTTGTCAAGACATATGTATAGACACCGACAAGAAGGAAAGATCAATGGGTATGTGTCTGTCTATATATATATGTGTGTGTATCTTCAAGCTACCAGACCCAGACGCTGATAATCCATAGGATTAATGTACAAAGATTCTCATTAAGCATACTAATTATATCATAATCCATGAAGACACCCCATTAAGTTTTTATATTTATATATTTTAATCATTAAACTAAAATTTCCCCGAATTGATTTAAAAATGAAAAGTGTGTGTGTGGTGTGTATAAATAGAAAGGGAGGTGCTATCTGAATGGTGGTGGCGTCGCTTTAAGGGCGGCTTTAAAATCGCTGGCATCGCGCAACACATGCCTTCAGTGCTTCACACCACCCCCACCCTAAGTTAGTTTTATTCACTAAAATACGCTAATAATTATAACCACTTGCTAATTTACAGGAACGATGTATACACATACATAGTTTATATAAATCGTACGTATAGGTCTATATATATATGCCGATCAATTTGCATAATAGAAATGTACAACTAGCAGTTTAGGTACGTACGTAGACGCCCAATACCATTTCATGAACATTTTTAAAGCTATCTTCACCCTTGTCGAATCGTTACTGGTGCCGTCGAACCACCAAATATAATAGATTTTATTTATTTATTTATTTATACATGTGTGTATATGATATACATATGTATGTATATAGCATTGATCAAAGAGGAATAAAGAGTCGCCTTAGTTTTATAAGTTAATTAGAAAGGTGATAAGCCCTGTTTTTTGTATTTTTCTCTAATTTGCCCCTCTTTATTTAATGCTTCAAATTCTGCAACATGCAGATGAAAACATTATCTTTCGCGTTTCAAAACCATTGGCTACAAGGAATTTACCATAACATATATATATATATATACACGCACGCGCGCACACACACACACACGTATATGTTCATATAGATATGCATATATGTGTGTATGTATGTACAAATCAGATACTCGTGGGCTTAGACGTATATGATGTAGTAAACTCTCATTTGAGACAGGCGATGTTGGGTCCAACAGGCCCTTTCTATATTCGAGCTATGTAGAAATTCTATATTCCTATATATATACATACATATATATATATATATATATATATATATATGTGATGTGAAAATTATATATTCCTATACATTAAACCCGTCGTTTCGGTTATCTTGAAATTCTATATACGAGCTGCACTTTAAAAAGATCGGAAG